GCCTCCTGTACAATGTTACGGACCTCCGTCCATAGTTCTTCAGGCGCTCTGTCTACCAAATCTAATCCTCTAAATCTATTCATCACCTTCAGACCTCCATCTAGCCTCTTTTAAGCGCCCCCAGGAACCTCGGTTTATTCCTTTGTCCCTGCCCCTTCTGGCTTCTGCTGAGATGCTACAAGGCCCTAAAAATTAACTTTTGTTCCGAACGTTCCCAGGCTTTCTAGAGCCTACCATAAGTTGATGGGAGTTGTAGTCCCAGCCCACCTAGGAAATGCCAGGTTTCAGAAGCCTGGGACTGAAGGACCTGAACACCCCCCTCCCAGTGCTACTAGCTTTAGGATAGGGGGTGCCGTGGGGCGTGTTCTCATCTCCCCCCTTTCTCGCCCCTCCAGCCCTGAACCGTCCACCTGGCGAGGGCAGAATAAACGGACGCTGAAAGTTGGCATTTTCCCATCTTCCATCGTGACGGCAGAGGAAGGGGCGCCCCCTGTAGGGGCCCCGCGGATCAGCCTCCCCATCCGAAGCTCCTTGCTCCACCTGAGTCATGGGGACATCGACCCTGATCGAGGATGGGGGGGTCAAGACCAGAAGGAGGAGTATGTGGGAGATGGGCATCATGCACACACACACGCGCACACACACGCCCTTCACGTTGAGAGGGTGTGCAGTGGGATCCCTGCAGGACTATGTCCAGTGGCGCTGCATGTCCTGCCACCAAGTGGCCAGTGGTGGCGCTGCACGTTCTGTCCGGCTTCGGCAAGAAGGGCTAACACCTTCCCGCCAAGCAAAGGACGTGGGACAGGGGCAGAGCAGGGTGTGGCTGGACCCGCTCGCCTGGCTCTCCCGCTGGCTCCAGGGCATTCATTTGGGTGGGAGCAGAGGCCCACTGGGGCACCAGGTTTAATTGTCTTGCCCCGCGGGGAATGAACATGCCTTCAGTAACCGGGGGTGGGGGGGTGTCTTCTGTATCCTAGGAAAAAAACAAAATTGCGTGGGGGGAACCCAAGCAAGGGCAAGCAGTTGCTGCAACTGGCACGTGAGTATCCACCTCCCCCCAGGGACTAGAGGAGCCTTCTGCCCCTCTTCCCCCCCAACCTCAACTGCTCCCCCCTTCAGGCCTCTCCAAAAGCTTGGAGTCCATTTCCGAGTTGACCATCTTGCGCCACAAGCCGAGGTTCCCGCCCTTCAGGACGGACTTGCCCAGCGGGGCTGCCCAGCGGCGTTTCAGCGACCTTCCGGTGCCCCTCCCTTCAGCCCCACCGCCTGAGAATCGCGGCCCCCCCAAGCCTGCCTCCCGCTTCCCGAACCCGGCCCTGCCTTCCTGGGCCCTGCCCAAGGTGGACGCCCCCGTGCCCAGGGAGAAGGACCAGCGGATGCCCAGGCCGGTCCCCAAAGGAGCTGTGGGGCCGCCCCCCTCTGGTGGGCAAAGGCTGACCATGAGCGAGATCGAGAAGAAGATCAAGGAGGTGAGGAGTAGACGTCCAGGGCGGTCTGCAGGGCGCGGTTAAAGATGTCAGCCCTCGTGGGCGCCCTCTTGACTTTTGGGGGCTTTAAAGAGGGGAGCGGCCAGGGGTCCCTCCGCTGCAGGACTGGATCTTGGCTACGTGGCTTTTCCACAAGGGTTTCCATCACAAATTTTTTTTAGCCCCCTGTGGACACTCCTGACGGTGATGGGAGTTGTAGTCCAACGCAGTGGCAGTTGCTGGGTTGGCAAAGGCTAACCAAGCCTTGAAGGAAGAGGAGGCCCACACGCTCATTCGGCCCGCCTCCCACGTCCCCCCATTGCAGGCCTTTTCTTCTCCTGAGCTAAGCCCGATGCAAAGGACTCTGGGGGGTGCTCAGGAGCCTGCGGCCTCTTGGCTGAGGATGCCCGTTTGGCCCCCCAGGTGGAAGAACGGGTCCACGGGGTGACAACCGAGGAATGCCACGAGGCCTTGAGGGTGAACAACTGGGATGTCTCCAAAACGGTCCAGATGCTGAAGGTGCGATACGATCTCGCTGATCCCACCTTGGGGTCGGCCGGTCAGCTGTTCCAGCTGTGCCTCGCGGAGGGGGAGGGCAGGTGTCCCTGGAGGAGGGGACAGGCTTCAGCAACGGCCAGCTCACCTCGTCCTGGGGAGATATTTCCACGCTGAGCTGGGGCAAGATGGGAGCCCCAGAGCCCCGAGCCGCGGGACCCACAGCCCCTCCCTTCCGACAGGTCAACCAGCTGTTCAACGTCAGCTCCCTCTCCTGGGAGGAATGCCGGCGGATCCTGGAGAAGCACCGCTGGAACCTCGCCATGGCCTCGCGCTACGTCCTCAGCCGGGGGCTTCGGACCTGAGCAGCCACAGGTGGCCGTGGGATCCCCGCTCGCCTTCTCCGGCGCCTGTGAGCAAGGGCCATTCGTGGAAAAGCGCCTCTCGCCTTCCGGGGGTGGGGGGGCTTTCCCAGGGGACCTTCGGAGGCTCTCTAAGGACCCACTGCTCATGATGCCTCTAATGACTTTGGTCACATGTACAAATAGCCCCCCCCACCCCCCCCAAGCCAGGCAGATGCTCCCAGAGGGGGCTCAGCGCTACCCATTTTGGCAGAAGAGCTGGTGGTTCTGTTGACAGCCTGTGAATGCAGAACTCCTCCCAGCCTTGTGGCCCAAGGTTCTAGTCCTCTTTGAGGAGGTATACCTCAACTGGGCTGCGCCACAACTTCCCAGGCCAACGACGGCCGGATAGCAGACGAGAGAACTGTAACTTGCGTTCTTCTGACAACCTTCAGCTTTTCTTATTTATAAACACGGCTAGCCGGCGCGCTTCGCTTCTTCCCTGCGTGGAGGCTCTCAATTTGGGGTGGGAGGGAGAGAGAGGTCATTGGAGGGCAAACGGGAAGGGCCCATCCAGCCCCTCCCCAAATGTCCACGCACCTGGCCTCCAGCTCGGTTCCTCGGGGGACAGCGGGCGAAAGCAAGATGCTTTCCTGCCCCTCTCTGGGTGGTCACGTTTGTAAGAGGCGAATAAAGGTGGTCATTTATCAGTGCACTCCTAGGGTGTCTCTGGAGGAGGGGGGGACATGCACCCTGCTGGCACCGCTTTATTGTAGGCACCACTTCAAACCCAGCAAGGAAGTGCCCAGCGGGGTGCCACAGCGGAGGCTGTGCAGAAACGGAGGAGTCTCTCCTGTTTCGTTTACAGAGGGAATGTCTTAAACAGTCCAGAAGTGCCCAGCTGTTGTTAATGGCGGACCTACGTACAGAACAGCACAAGCGTGCGTTAAAACTGGAGCCAGACCTGCAGAATTTCTGCCCAGCATCTTTGCTATATTCTTCCCATACACCATACGCCCACTGACATTCGTCTCACTGACTGGCCAAAGAGCTGTGTTATGGTTTGTTTTAAACCTGGTTTGTCATGCTGGTCACCGTGCCCAATCCCCCTACCAAACAGAACCACAGAATGGGAAGAATCCCCCTGTGCCGGACAGAATCCACTATTGTAGAGCAGTGTTTCTCAACCGTGGCAGCTTGAAGGTGGGTGGACTTCAGCCAGACATGCTGGCT